AGTATATTGTTTATCAGGTTTGTTTTGTGAGGGAAGAATTCATTTGTAAATAATATTTTTTGATGAGCATTTGCCATTCATAGGGCAGTCAATTTTTTGCTTGCAATTACAATTTTCAGAATTTTTTTTTTTAAGAAATTCATTTTTATTAATCTATGCAAAATTGTGGCCTTTTATGATTCCTTCAATATTTTTGTACAGCTATAGCTTTAAGTATTTCTTTTAAAAATTTTGTTCAATTTATTTGAGGGAGGGAAATAAATGTCTATTAATTTTAAAAAACGCTTTTCCGATATTTTTTGAAACGTTTTTGCTGTACGGAGGGTTGAACCAAATTATATTTTTATTTCTATTTTGCCTTTTGTACTTTTTATTTCAATTTTTAGCTCGAAATTTTTAAATCCGCTTTTAACAGTAACTTCATACACGCGTTTGGAATGATCTGAACCCAATAACTAGTTAGTAAACAATTCTTTCTGGTACAAGACAACCTCGTAAACAATTGACAAATTATTCAATCATTTTTATCAATGTTTTGACTAGGGATGGGAGTTAAGGTTAGTTTTAGCCTAACAAAAAATACTTAACTAAATTTTTAGTTAACTAAAATTACCTGAATAACTTTTTAGTTAACTAAAATTAGTCGACTAACATTCTAGCTAACTAAAATCACCCGACTAACTTTTTAGCTAACTAAAATTACCTGACTAATCTTTTAGTTAACTCAAATTAATCGACTAACTTTTTAGTTAACTAAAATTACCTTACTAGTCTTTTAGTTAACTCAAATTAGTCGACTAACTTTTTAGTTAACTAAAATTACCCGACTAATCTTTTAGTTAACTAAAATTACCTGACTAACTTTTTAGTTACCTGACTAATCTTTTAGTTAACTCAAATTAGTCGACTAATTTTTTAGTTAACTTAAATTACCCAACTAACTTTTTAGTCTAACTAAAATTAGTCGACTATCGTTTTAGTTAAGTCAAATAAATCGACTAAATATTTTGTGTAACCAAGTTTAGTCGACTAAAGCAATAAAAGTTTTACACACGAAGAAGCTTTATTAAGGCGATAGATATTATAACATCAAAATTAAACACTTTACTAATTGTGAATCCTAGAGCCCCGTTGAACTAAACTGTTATTCAAAAAAAGTGTATTAAGGAAAATTCAATTATTTTTATTTTTTCACAGCTCGGAGACAACTGCCTATGAGGTAGTTGCAACTGTTTATGACTGTTTATAAACAACCAATTAGCATTGAATGTACAAATAATGCCTTTAAGTCAATTAAATCAAATTTGGTACGCTTATTGAACGTTTAACTAATATTTTAATCTGCTGCATCCTATAGTGAGTGTGCAATAACAATCGCACATCAAAAATAGTCTATCCTGCCAAGGCCGTACCGACGGGGGTGTGGGCACCCTCAAAGGTTTACAACATTCTGTCGGTTTTGTCGGTAATTTGGAAAATTTGAGACTCGATCGGTTAAAAATGAAATTTGGCTTTTAAATAAAATAAAAAAGCCCTACTTTGTGAAATTTTTATGGTAAAAAAGCTTTTTTTTACCTGCACCCCCTCCCTTTGTCATCGTTGTTTAGAACAGCCCTGTCCCCTGCTATGTTATAGGAATGGATTCAATATCTAATTTTCACAACAACAGAAAACAAAACATATTAGATTGGAAAATAAAGTAAAAAAAAAATTAGAAACAATGCAGTAGAAACATTTCGCATTCTAATTCTTCCAAATACAGAAGATATAAAAATATTGTGTTCACTTAAAATTATAAATGGGCATTAAATTCCTTCCTTTTATTAACCCTCTCCAAATCTATTGTAATGTTAACGTAACCACCAGCGCAAATACAATACACAATATACGAACATTTATTGTTGCGTCTTCTCTCCCGACTATTATAACCCGCAAACACTACAGGTAGGCAGGTGAAAGTATTGACATAAACCGAAAAGATAATCGTTAAATAAGTTACTATGAATATATTTATTGCTTTTAGAATATAGTTGTTCGTCGGTTGGCGATACTTGCAAAATTTAAAAAGAAGATTGGTAATTGTATTTTAAAATGCAATTTCCGCAATATAAGTGGTCGAATAATGTATAAAATGCATTAAATAATGATTAATTGTTGAATAATGAAAACATTTTATTAAATAACTGCGGTCACTTTTGAAATCAGGAAATTGTTTATGAGATTTTAATTACTTGAAAGATGCAATGCGTAATTTTTAGGCACATTAAAATAGATGTAAAACCGGATCAAAACAATTATCAATTAAAATTCAATAACTTTTTTATTATATTTATTCTTATATTTTTTCATTAAATAGATGTTTAAAAAGATACTAAAGAATATATAAATAAATATTAAAAAAAAAAATAATCAAACTAATAAATTAATAAAGGTAAAAAAAAAGTTTGCAGTTTTAGGCAACATTATGATAAAACAGCGCACTCAAGAACATTAAAATCACACATTAATTTTTTTAATTTTTTATGTTTTCTTTTTTTAAAAAATTTTTTTAAACTTTTTTTTAAACACATTTTAAATTTAAATAACTAAACTAATTTTTTGTAACAAAAAAAAAATCAGTATCACACAAAAGAGTTTCAATACTAAATTTAATAATAGTTATTTAAGAACAATAAAATGTATTAAAAAATACTTATTACAAGAAAAAACTTCAGTATTGATTTAATGAATATAAGCTAAATTAAAAAGTTACAAATTTTTGTACAAAAACATCAAAATTTAAAAACATTCAGTTGTCATTCTGTTTCGCTTTGCATACAAAGTGTTTAATGCGTCATAGAAAAGGTGTTCACTTGGTGCAATGGTAGCAGGCGTACATAAACTAATTTTTGAAATACTATTCAATATTGTAAACACATGTTGATTTTAATGCCAAAAGTATAAAAAGATTTTGCTCATTTACTGACAATTTTATATAACCACTAATTTCTTTTTTTAAATCTAATTTTATTATTTATCATTTCCGGAAACATCTTCATCGTCAAATGATAACTTAAATTTTTTTGATTTGATTGTCACCATTTTAACTGGAATTATATTAAAAACTTTTTTTGTCAATTTTGCGTTAAAAAATTCCGACAAAAATTTTTTAACGCATTTTCAATTTTTTTTTCTCCAATTTTTCAAAGAATTGAGAACTTTTATAATTTAGATCCAAAACAGTGGCACCTAATAAAAACAAATTATTGTAATATATTGTAGCTTACAGGGCCAGCACAAGTAGGTAACACGTAGAGAGCGCCGTTAAAATTTTAGCTGACTAGAAAAAGGAAAAAAAAATTCTTTTTATTTTAAATTTACCAAGTGACTGTTCTGAAAATCTACATTTGCCGACTTACTTATCTAAAAGAGTCAAATTGGCTTACTAAATGAGCTAAAAATTCATTGATCGCACAAAACCAACCACCTCATCCTCTCACCCTTTTGCGCTGGCCTTGGTAGCTTATTCAATTCTAAAGATATTTGTGTTTTATCATGTTTTCTTTTTGGATCTTTATGAAATATTTTCTTGAAGTATCTCGTTAAACATTCGGCATTGAAAATTGATAGAAAATTATTTTTATTTTTTTTTATTTTTGCGGTGTTATTCGGTAAAATGATTTTGCATTAGCAAACTTATTCAAAAATAATTTGTTTTATATATTTATAAACTTTAGTTGGACTGAAAACAAAGTCAGGTATATTTAGTTAACTAAAAATTTAGTCGGTTAATTTTAGTTAACTAAAAAGTTAGTCGACTAATTTTAGTTAACTAAAAAGTTAGTCGACTAATTTTACTTAACTAAAAAGTTAGTCGGGTAATTTTAGTTAACTAAAAAGTTAGTCGATTAATTTTAGTTAACTAAAAAGTTAGTCGACTGATTTTAGTTAACTAAAAAGTTAGTCGACTGATTTTAGTTAACTAAAAAGTTATTCGACTAATTTAAGTTACTAAAAAGTAAGTCGACTAATTTTAGTTACGGTTTTTTTAGTTTAGTTAGTTACAATTTTAAGTTTTTGTCACAACACTAGTTTTGACTTGACTTCAGCAAGGTTTTCTACTACAAATATAAAGTTTCGCGCAAAACATAAAAATGTTTTGTGTTAACCAAAATGGCGGCTGACTTTTAAAACTGGCTTCAGCGCGTTTTATATTAAGTATATACTACGGCGTTTTCTGTTTATTAAATCTCTTTGTTTTTTACTCATCCGTTTTTTCACGGGCAAGGAAAGGGAGTAATATTTACGCGGGTATACGTTATGTAAGTTTTAATTTGTACAAAGGCAACTACACATGATTACGCAATTTTTTTTTCTTTATCTCGTTCCTGTAGAAAAACAGATGAGTGAAAACTCACCTTAACACTCAAGCAATGCAAGAGGAAATGTTAAAGATCTGTAATGAGGCTAAGATCATTACTTTCTACTGTTTAAATTATCTTATTAAAAACAAATAAGAATCAATGTCGGGAGTGCATTAGACCTTTCATGACCCGTATTTTTTTTTTTTTGGTATATATTTAGGTTATTATCAATGTTATTATCAATGTTTTTTTAATTTTTTTGAATGTTGTTAATAGTAATGTTTATCAAAAGAATAAAAAAAACCTGATAATATTTACAATTTTATAATTGTATTTATACATTAGTCGTAGTACAGGTTAAAGAATTTATTCTTATGTTTGTTGTTGTTATTATTATTATTATTATTATTATTATTATTATTATTGTTATTGCTATTATTATTATTATTATTATTATTGCTATTATTACTATTATTATTGCTATTATTATTATTATTATTATTATTATTTTTATTATTATTATTATTATTATTATTATTACTATTATTGTTATATAAATCTGTATATCATATTATAATTAAATTGTAGTTAGTATTATTAAAACAGTGTAGATGAATAATTCAAAACAATTTATATATTTTTTTGCTTCTTACATAGCTCGTCTAATAACTCGTATGGAAAATCTACTTCAACTGAATTTATGAAAATGAAAAACCCCTAAAGATGAAGCTTTAGCTAATATAATAAACAGATAACTGATATAAATATAACTATTTAGTTTAACTCGTTGATTTATGCAATAACTTATTATAAGTAGTAGTAGTATTAGTATCAAAAACAGCCACACTGAATAAGCTCGAAAAAGGACTTTACGGAATAATATCGAAATAGAGAATAAAACCAAAATTGTAACAAAAGGAATTATATCTAAAATACGAAAAACAGAATAATCTCGAAAGAGAATAAGTTCGAAAAGGGAACTTTCGGATTAATGTCGAAATAGATAATGTACTGAAATTGTAAAATTTAATTGATAGATTGCCTGCTTTAACCAAAACCTCAATCAATATAGAAACACTCGTAGCATGTTGTACCTCTTTGCTAGTTTTTTGATACTGTTATTAAATCTAAATTTGGATATTATTCCATATAGGCATTTTCGACATAATTTTTTCTTAATTAATTTTGATTTTTTTAAATTAAATTTATTTTCGATATTAATTCCAAAGAAACGTTTTCATCAAAAAAATTTCAATAGTATTCCGTTTTTCGAGCAATTTTTTTATTTAATTCTATTCTGCTTTCTCTTTGTTATCATATTATTATTTTTGTTATTATTACTATTGTTAGTATTGCTATTATTATTGTTATTATTGTTATTATTATTGTTTTTATTGCTATTATTATAATTTTTATTATTGCAATGTACAATGTTTTCCTTTAGTAAACCATAACTTCCGATATACTTAATTTTTTTATTGGAAGATAAAAGTATGCTATTTTTGCGCGCAAGTAAATATGCATACACGCGACTTCAGTGCCATAAGAATACGCTTTCTTGACTGCTGGTCATGTGGTTGATTGATGGAGTGCATCTTTGGTACCCGTTACAACAGACAAACTAATATATTTAAATCGTAATATTGACTTGTTTACCCTGGATACTTGTAAATAAAGTTTAGATATAAATAAAAAAGAACGACCTTAAATAAATGACAATATTAAATAAAATGTTTTTATTGACTGTTGTGAAAAACAACTTTTACAAAAGACGTTGATTTTTAGCGAGTACCTGCCTGTTTATTTTGACAGGCATCCGGTGCAGGTATTTTTACTATTTTATAAATGATGATCTGATGAAGTTAAATTGTATAATCTTATATACATGGATTATCTTTTTCCGTATATTTTCGGAATTCCGGATACTTTTCTCAACTTTTAGTTTTTCCGGATGTTCAAAACATTTTCAATAAATGAAAGTTGAGGTATATACTTTTGTAATTTTAATATATTTCGTTGTTAAGCTTTTTCACTCGTTATGAAAAATTATGAAAAGTGTCAAAAAATAAAATTATAAACAACTTAGCTAAAATCGAAATTAAAAAGAAAATAAGGAAAAGCCAAATCCGGATTTTTTCTGGATTTTTCATTCAAACAATTTTCTGCATATTTAAAATATGACTAGAATGAACGATGAATGAATATAATATAATCTTGTATACAATAAAATTCTGTGCTTAAAACGATTATATACCATTCAAAAAGCATGTATATTTAATATATGTTTTTATCTAAATGTTTATAACTTATATCATAAGTTTAATATAAAACTTCAAAAATCGATGATTTATGAGACACATCCCAGCAGGCATTCGAACATTTAATCAACATTTAGTTAATGTTGGTTCTAAATGTTAAGATTTATTTTTGATCTAAAACGTAGGTCATTCAAATATTCCATTTGAGCCATATCTAAATGGTTCGTTTTAAACGCTATTTAAACTCCATCTAAATCTTTCGTTTTAAACGTCGCGACGTTTAACTCTATTTTACGGCGCTTATTTAAGGAAGAATAAATAAAAGAAATACTAATAAACAAACCAAACTTTTCTTTTATTTAGGCTGCTTTAAATAAGCACCGTAAAATAAAATTAAACGCTGAACACACTATCTAAATACTCGTAAACAAATCAAACGTTAAACATATAATTTTTTATTTAAATAAATCTAAAATACAAGTAAAATCATTTTAATTATTATTATATGCATTATCGTATTAGTCATCATGATCGGCTACATAATCATCATCGTCATCTTTGTTTGAACCGATTAAGCCTCTTCGTCTTAAGAATTAGAAAAAGGGACATAACCTTTCCTAGTTCCACTTATACGGAAAGGAGCCATTCTAAGATCGATAATCCACGATAACCTTCGGGTCCTGTGACAATATCGTCTAACTGCCCCCCCTCCCCAAAACCACCATTTCTCTCTGTATAGTGGCTTTGAATTTTATTAATTTTATTATTATTAGGAACAGTTTTCACGAAAAACCATATGATTAAAAAAAACCAGTCTGATTTGGATTCTTTTTCAATATTTATGCATATTGCAATATATATATATATATATATATATATATATATATATATATATATATATATATATATATATATATATATATATATATATATATATATATATATATATATATATATATATATATATATATATATATATACATATATATATATATATATATATATATATATATATATATATAGTATATATAGTATATAAATAACTTTATATATCTATATATTGTACAACATTCAAAAATTATGTATTAATTGGATTTTATGATATTACTTTTATCCATTGAGTAATTATAATACAACTCTATATCTTCTTCCGCGCCTCACCCTCACAATGAATGTATGTTGTAAGCTAATAAAACATCGTTTTCATTTTTTATACTAGTTTTTCTCATTTTATTAAGGATAAAAATAGTTTTGAAAATGAACTAATTTTTTCTGATAGGTTGTGTTGCAACATCGCTACTTTATTCCATAAGTAAACCTCCATTCCAAACCTCTAACTAATGCTCGTGAGTCGGAATAAAGTAATATATTAACAGCTTTGTGTTCATAAATAACAAACTTTGTGCTCATAGAATTTTTGTATGATCACTAATATTATTTACAAAAATATTAGTGACCTGTTAAATAATGATGAGTCTTTAGGCACCTGTTAAAAAATTTTTTGTACAAGATTTTCTTAAAATCTAGTCTTACTATGTGAACAACCGTGAAATTTGTTTATATAATTGTTCACATATATTAGGGTGATTACAAAATCACTATTCAATGTTGCTTTTATAACTACCCTAAAAAAAACACACATTTTATGTCATTGTTTTCAGACTTATGTGGTTCGGACGGTTTTCCATATTATTATTTTCTTTATGAAAATTAAATTATAAAAATAAGTGGTTATGTAAATAATATATGAAAAAAAATCTGAAATACAGCATCCCATTTTTTCCATCTAATTTAACTTGTAGCTAGTGATTTTCTTTTTTTTTTTTTTTTTTTAATTTGTCTAAATTTTTGTACGGATTATGTTTGTATAAGAAAATAATTTTATTTCATAAAGTTTCTGTAAATAAAAATTTCTAGATGCTTTTTTTATTAGGAAACTTGTTTTTATCGGACAAATGCGTAGAAATAACATTACGAAAAAATCATAACTTCATTGATTTAATAATATATAATATTACATATAAATCAGTACAGTGAAAAAAATTCGAAATTACTAATTTGAATTATAAAATTGTAACAATATTTATATAGCTTTTAGTAAATGGTATGAAAATTAACGACATTCCGTACCGTACGAAAATTTCCCATGGGAGTTTTAGAAAAAAAACCCATGGAAAAACCATGGGTATTTGGAACACGTTCCCATAAAAACCATGGAAAAACCATGAGTTTTCCATGGAAAAACCATGAGTTTTCATGGGAAACACATGAATTTCCCATGAAAAATCTTCAAGTTTTTCATGGAAAAGTGTTCCAAATACCATGGATAATCAATGATTTTCCATCCATGGAAAAACCATGGAATTTCCATAGGTATTAGAAACACCTTTCCAAGGAAAACTTATGGATTTTTCATGGTAAAAAAGCATGATTTGTTTTCAAGTTTTTTTATCTAATGTTATTTGAATTGTCATATTAAATCATAAAAGCAAATTTTATCCCACTATTATTGAGTTCTCTTAATCTATGAGATCGCTTTCTCCAAATAAAATCAATAAACAAAATAAAATTTAAATCTTGTTAAATCCTACAAATCTTTGAAAAATAATAGCTATAATGCACCTAAAACATCAAAACTTGACTTCCCCACAATATTTATTGCATGCATATGTATAACATACTGAAAATAAATAAAACAAAAAATTACAAGTAATATAATACTATAAGTGATATACATAGTGATAAACAATTGAAATTTATCAAGAAAACAATTTTTACAGAAAATAAAACAATTTACATGTTTATTATTTTATATTAACTATTTGATAAAAATAGTATATATAAATTTGATAATAACTTCAAGTTTTAACAAGTTAAAAAGAACCATCAATACAACATATTTAATTCAAAAAAACATCAAGCCCATTTATAAATGCGTCTGTACTGTATCTGTAGAAACAGGTAGATGTTAAACAAAGTACCATTCACATATTAATATTCATTTTTTTTCACCCTAGTTAGTCTCATTCTCCATTTCACCAATCTAGACAATACATCATACAACTATTATATACATTCTAACTAGTTTTCTTTATTTACTAATTCATTTTACTTATAATTATTATCTATTATAACTTACTTTATAATTAGGCATTATACACAATTATGAATGTTGCCAAATGTTAGGTAACATTTATATAGAAAAAAGTAGCTATGAATATATCATTATTTATAAATACAAATTATTAGATTGTTACCTCTTTTTTGCCTAAGCTTATCTGTATTATGTATTGCTATCTGCATTATGTACAACATCGTTTATATTTCCAGTCAAACATTCCTGCCTAAAATGTAACTTTATTAAAATGATTTATTCAAACTAATACATATATAAATGTTACCTGCATGTTAGAAACATTTATATAGAACAAGGCAGCAACAAATATTATATTATATATTTACTTTTGTAATTTAAAAAAAAACTTACTTCTTTTTCTGAGCTATCTGCATGATGTACAACATCATTTACAAACTTGTTTTCTTCACGTCCTTCTATTTTTTAATGTATTATAAAGCACAGGACTTGTTAATGAACGGCTAAATAAATAAATTAAAAATTTATATTTAAATGAAATGATGAGGTTAAAATGAAAATATTTATACACATATATAAATTTTACCTGCATGTTAGTAACATTTATATAGAATAAGGCAGCAACAAATATAGTATAAATTATAAATTGTAATTTTAAGTAAAAACTTACTTCTTTGTCTGAGCTGTCTGCATGATGTACAACATTATTTATATTGTCAGTCAAACTTACCTGCTTATAATGCAGTAATTTAAATAAAATGATAAAGTTAAAATAAAAGAACTTATGCACATACCATTAAATTCAAAAATTTATTATATTTTTACTTCACCATTTAAAACATAACAAATATGTAATTTATAAAGTATAGTAATGTAAAAGCATAGTAAATATCAAAGTGTGTGCATAAATTAATTTATTTTAACTAAAGACGAGCACTTTACATCAGTTAAATATAATCAAATAAAAATTATTGTATTATAATAAATAATAGTGTATTATTTATAAACATTGCTTTTATATGCTTATATTTAACTATGAAGTAAAATCTTGTGCATTAAGTAAATTTCCTTACTGATACTTATAAAATATTACCACAGTTTTCCTTCTCCAACTAAGTGGTTCTTGGAACATCCTTACAAGTTGAATCCAAAAGATTACGTTTATATCTTTTCTGGTTTAAACTCAATTCACCATTTTATTTTGACAGCTTTTGAACTATTTTTAAAAATATTAAATGCATATAAAAACTGACGATGTTATAAACAATATAAACGATGAATAACATTATTTATATTGCCAGTCAAACCTGTTGGCTTATAATGTAGTAATTTAAATATAATAAAGTAAATATAAAAGAATTTATAAACATTATTTATATTACATTATTTACATATTCTAATAATTCTAAAGAAAAAACAACAACAAAAAGACAAAAACAACTTAACAGAATTAAAATTGAATAGAACATTTATCATAAAAAAATGTTTTTTAATACTTAATGAACATTTACAATACAATAAACTTCAAGCATTTTTATGTAATCTAAGGCTATTATAAAAAAAAATAAAAAAGATCATGCTAGTTATTTTTTGTACATTAGTTATCTAATCTTATTATCTTAGTTATCTAATCTTATCTAATATACTGCTTGTATATTAAAATTTTAGATAAGTTTCTTTAATATGTTCGATAAGTTTTATAATAATAATTATACTAGTTTGAATGTACATTTTATTACACTATGTACATTAATACACTAGTTATTTAATGTAGATTAAAACTAAACATTTATTTGTTGTAAACCAAATAATAATTATTTGGCAAATAATTTGCCAAGTAGGCATTAAAATTCAAACTGGTTTACTTGACATACTTGCTATACTATTGCATTATATTATGCAAAGTAAGCAAAGCTACTGGAAACAGTTAAAATAAGTATATGCATAAATGATATATAATTAAATATAATTAAAAATAATCCATTTTATAATGCATTATAATATGATAAATATATCTAGTTGTTTATGTCTGTATGTTTAGTTTAAATCATATAAATGTAATGCATTATAAAAAACAAAAAATACATAGTCTTATTAAACACAGAAAAACAGAAGAATGCAGTAAATATTGTTTTCTAAAGTTAAAAATAATCATAACTCTACGAGCTATGACGCCATCTTTAAAAGCGCATTTGTAACAACCATGGCGCTGAAAAAAAAAAACATGGTTCACCCATGGAAATTCCATGGGATTTCAATTTTCATGAAATTTACCCATGGAAATTCCATGGAATTCCCGTTTTCCATGGGAAAAACATGGTTTACTCATGGAATTCCATGGGTTTTCCATGGAATATTTCCGTAAGGGGTCTTGGCTTTCAGAAAATGCTTAGAGTATAAGATGAGTATACTCAACTTTTAGAACTCTCCAAAATCAGTTATAACAACGGAAACTCTCCCTAAACAGTGGAATAAACTATTATTGAAAACACAGATTGCACATAAATATGTTTTTTAATTTATGTTAAAACTTAAAACACCTGACTAAATGAATAATAAATAATAAGCCTAACTTGTGAGAATGTTGTTGTGAAGTATTAACAGCACTAAAAATAAAAAATACCAACAACATCAAAATATACATTTTATTTATAAAATTTGATTCTTGGCTTTTAGTGAATGATTAGAAGTAGAGCTTCAGTAATGAAACTACCTAATAATCATTTTTAACAATAGACACCAACGTGAAGGTAGCCAAGTTGTCTATCAACACGAAACACCACAAAAATAACATAACAATAATTACACACAACAATAACACAGGAAATATACATATAACAGCTTACGGATGAGCCAACACGGTGCCAGAGCTTAAAACAGAACACAAACATAAAACAACTTATGAGTAAAGCAACACTGCATCAGAGGTTTAAACAAAACAAAAACAGACACAACAATAACATAACAATGATAACACAACAATAACATAGCAAATATAAAGCGACTTACAGGTGAGCTAACACCGTGCCGGGTCTACACAGAACACAAACATTAAAAAAATCGACTTACGAGTGAATCAACACCGCGCCAGAGGTCTACACAGAACACAAATATACATAAAGCAACTTACAGGTAAGCTGACACTGTGCCAGAGGTGTTGGCTTACCTGTATCCTATATCCACCCTTGCTCACTATTTCTTTGTTGTAGACTTGTCAGACCCTTTTTTAATGTTTGATCGAAGCCCACCTTTTGATTTAGCTTTTTTCGACATAGCTATTTGTCTTTGAACAACATCTTTAGCCATCGAAAATGATCTTACTCTTAAGTATAATTTTACCATACTCTCTAAAAGATTTGTTTTAGCTTCTTTATCAATTTTAAATTGGCAGGAGTTCTCAACAATAGCATTATAAAAACTTTGCACAGTTGTATTTGTGATTAGCTCAGATGCCATATTTGCAATGTCAACTTTTCTCAACATTGAATTTAGAGTTTCAGACTGAAATTTTATTTCTGTTAGAATAAATATTTGCTGACACTCTTCTGTCAGTGAGATCAGTCCACCTCTGTTTTGAACATCAATAAGTCTTTGTCCATGTGACAAATTTTTTTCAAGAACACAGTGGTTTAAAATAGAAATAATTGCTTGGGTTTCTTCAGATTGATAGTGTTTACTGTTTTTAGCTTTCTTTAAAAATTTTGACAAAACGTAGCCAGCCAAGTATTGTAGACCATCTAATTCCTTTGCAGATATAGGTTTCAGTTCAATTGATTTATTCTCTGAAAAAGATGTTTTGTAATAATACAAAATTTTATCAGTTAACGCTGTTGATAAACCTTGCGTACTGCAAGGTTTTTCAAGATCATTAAAATATTTATCAGACTCTAATACAAGTGAAGAATATGTTTCCATGTACAATTTTTCACCATTTCCTGTCTTCACTAACTTTTTGTAAATTTTGTTGCACTGTTGGTATAATAGATCGTTTATTACATTGATATATTGAGATATTTTATTTAATATTATGTCTGGGTAGTATTTTTCACTTAGGGGTAATTCCACATCAAATCACCCAGTCCATTGAACCATGTGTCTTCTTTTTGTTTTATATTTTGACACATTATTCCTAATTATAAAAAAAAAATTGCATGCAAAATTTCAGCCAAAAATGTTGAGGGGTTGACAAGATACTGCGATTTTAATATTGACCTGGTTTCACAAAATGACCCGGTTTACATAACATTCTAAAAATATCTTTTTCTTTAAAAAATAAGAAATAAAAATGGCAAAAATATAAAAATAAACATATATAATATTTTTTTGATGCTGAATTCAATAAATGTACTTAAAATGCTAAAATATAAAAGGAACAAGCTTAAAAGTTAATAAAACAACAAGTTTCTATAAACCAACTTTGGGGCCCAATATCTCAAAACACCCCTGTCAAATTTTTTTTTTTTTTTGCTGTTAATATATTCAGCTGCTTATAATCTTACTAGGCACAAAATATCTAACTGGAAAAACAACTGAAACATAAAACTTTAATATCTAAGATGTATTACTTTTTCAAAAAATTCCCAAAAAATGTTTGTAAATAAAATAAAAATAAGTTAATCGTAATTTAAAAATAAATTTAAATATACAAGATTTTTCAAGATGCAAGTTATTTTGACTGTGTTTGTAATAGTTCACAATATTGTTCCCATTTTACTTGTACTTCTTCTATTTCAGCATTTTCAAACATATAGTTTCTACCGGAACTAGAGCAAGCTTGTGGAACAGATAGTTTTTTCAATATGTTGGTGTAAGGAATAAAACAGTAGTCCTCTCTTTCAGGCCAGTTAAAACAGATTGATGGACCTTTTGGGTGAAGAAACTTAACTTTAACATCAACTTATTCTAGGTTAGTTTCAGTTACAATGCCGATTCACCACTTATCATCATAGACTACAGCTACATAACCTCCTAAAGTGACAGTATCAAGTTGAAATATATCTTGTTTCTTTTTAAGGTTGTGAATTATTGTATAATTAGTGTCTGTACTACACCTCTTTGCCCCAACCCTGTTATCTCCAAGATGTATAAATTGATGAAAGCTACGAGTACCAGGTAGAGTTGTTACACCAGTGTACCTTTCTCTTTGCTCCTCACATTGCAATTGTAAGTCTATCCCCTTTATGTAAATGAAGTTAACAACCTTGATTTTCTCAATACAAAATTCATACATAGCTTCAGATGTGAGAATTTGGTTTCTCTATGGTTGTTTTAAACTTTTTTGTGCTGTTAACCTTTTTACAGTGCCGCCAATCCCATCGCATCGTGACTTTCCGGTGTGACGTGGCAAAAAAATTCCATTCAACTTTAAGGGAAAATTCGCTCTCTAGTTGGCATAGATTGTAAAAGCTTTTACAATTTTTGTACTGTCCTGCGCAACCATCAGTAAATAGATGTAATTTGGACAGATTGGAAAATTTTGTTTTTAATATTGGTATGATTAGTTGAAATATTTTGTACACATAAGTTACATCATGTGTAATGTCGTCTGATATAAAACAATAAGAAATATGTTTCAGTACACCTTTATCATCTTTATAGTATATCACTAATGGATGTAAAGAACATTGTTGGTTGTTCCGATGATAGCTTTGTATTTCATCTTGGACTACAAAAGTATAATTTTCAGCAAAGTCGCCAATAATGATGTTTGATTGATCCATATTTTGTTTTAGTTGGTTAAGGTACTGTGATTGAGAGTGAGCAATAAAAGAATGAGCTTGTAGCTTTTCAAAGCAAGATACTAATAGTTCAACAAATGTTGAAACATCTGCTGTTAAACTCAATAGTGTTGCAGGATCAGTAGTTTGCCATTGCTTGTAGTGTATCTCAAAATCATCTTTGTATTCTCCGAAAATCTCATACATATATTTGGTGAGGGTTTCTTTACCAGGACAATTATCACACTGTGCAAGCATGCATTCTTTGTTTTCTACTGAGCAAATGGTTTTCGAAAGTAAATCCTTATACTTTAGTCCAATATTTAAGGCATCTACTAGCAATATGGCATTTTGGTAATAACAACAAACACAAATAGAATGTGTACCATTTGCACCTGGCAAAATGCACCACTTTGGTCTAAGTGAAGCAAATTTTGAGTAACTTATTTGTATTTCTGGATTGTTTTCTTTGTATAATACATATAGTTCTTTTAAATTACACAAAAGCAGTTTTTTTTGTTTATGGATATTCTTTTGAATGCTAACATCATCTTTTTTTCCAGACATAG